CTCTGTCCCAAAAATAAACGTTGAAAAAAAAAATTTTTTTAAAAAAAGAAAAAGAAAAGAAAATGTCAGGTGATGCTGCTTCTAATTGCCCTTGTTAGTAGTTCTAATAAATTCAGTTAAATCCCAGAGCTATGTACATTCTTTAAAGCTACTAAAAGAAATGATTTTTGGCACCCTGAGCTCCTTCGCTGTTTCTAAACAGTGCCAGGATTGGGGTGGTGTTTGTTTTCTTTTTGTCATGGTGTTTACATGCCCTGGCGTGGGCCTTGAGTGAAAATGCATTTGGTGATCTCCTGGTCTCCCTGCAGTCCCTAATGGATGTTTGTCTAGATGACAACACCCAGTTTAGCGCTGTTAACGCTCCAATGACAGCATAGGACCAGCCTGGGGGTGGGGGAGTGTGTGCTACGTGTGACAAGGGCGTGAATTCGAGATTGGGAATCTTCTGTGAGGTAAACACTTCCTCCTCTGGTATCCAGTTCTGGAAGCACCTTTTTGTGCTGTCTCCCACAGTGCCTTCTTTGAGGAGTCAGACCATAAATGTTCAAGTCAGAGAATCTCAAAACTTGATTATCACCCCCGGTAACTCAAGTGCTGGACTTGCTCTTAGGAGCCCAGATTTCTCAGCCTTGACAGGGACAAGCTTACCAACTGGATAGTGTCATTCAGGGAGAGGATGACGAGCTGCTGTCTGAGGTCAATTTCTGTGGTATTATACATGACATCTCTTTGTAGGGTTGACTGCGAGCTTGATTAACATCGCAGCCACTCTTGCAGATATGTGGCTTCCATAGCACATTTAGCAAAATGCATCCACTCTTCTGTTTTGTTCACCATTGTCCCAAGCACTGTATGTGGATGTGTTGGACGCAGTGGGGCCTTTCAGGAAACAGCAGGACCATTCTAGGCAGAGCATGACAAGTCTTTAGAGGGCCGCGCCTGCTCTAACCCGGGCCCTCAAGCAGACTGCGGTCTGAAAGGGGGAGCCATGAATTGCGTGTTGACAGCGGGCCACGGCTGTCCTAAGGCTCAGGTGGTTGTCAGCCATAAGTTTAGCTCAGCTCTTTGAGTAATTTGTCACGCCTCGCTCGGCCCCTGCTGGGCCAGCACGTGCCAGCTTAGTGTCAGAGTGCCTGTTCGCCAGACGGCCACTCAGGCCTAACGTCCTGCTGTTCCCTGGACCAGCGGCTTGCTGGGGCCGTGCACGGAGGGCCGAGCTGCGCGACAGCCAAGTGCTGTGCAGAATAAGCGTGTTCATAATGAGACGTGAATGGCATTAGTGGGTCCCTCTAGAATTGGGCCTGAGAGGATGCCTCTCACCGTGGAAGTTTGGCAGCCTGTTCATCAGGGCGAGTCACTGGGAGTTCAGCCTGCATTCGAGAAGCCGTTCAGACTCCCACCACCCAGGCCTTAGGCTGCCGTGACTGTCTGCATAAAACACTAAATTCATCAGAGGGGCCACTTTTGAATTCTTTTTTAAAGTTACATAGAGCAAACGTAAAGAGAAATTCTGGAACAGAGCTGCCCCATAGCTCTCGCCACGACAAAGGACGTGTTTCACATCCATGCAATCCAGCACAGTGACCCCAGCTGCATGTGGCTGCTGGGTGCTTGAAATACAGCTAGTGGGACAGAGGAACTGAATTTCTATTTTTTTATTTTAATTAATTTAAATTTAAATTTAGATAGCCACATGCGGCTCATGGCTACTGCAGTAGACAGCACAGCCCCAAGATGCCTCTGGTCTCATGGTGTAAAAATCTTCCTCTGAATATAATTAAAAGGGGCAGAAGAGGAAGGGCCTGCATTGGGAAATCCATATGCATACTTTGACAAAAGAAAATAGAAAAATATTTTCCAATCTTAAAACACATGCTTACTGAAAGCTAATCGGAAAAGCATAATTGTCACCAACTTTTATTTTTAAAGAGGCTGTTTTGGAAAGATAGTTTTAAAATACAGTGAGAAATGCTAGGATTACTTTTGCTCTTCCAGATTAGCAAATAATGAACTGATTGATGGTGATCCACATTCCCTGTGTTCCTGGAGAATTAGCATGATTTTCAAAACGACTAAAACACATCTTTTAACTTTTGCATTGATAACTAGGAAGGGGAAAATGAGACGTCATGCTGACTTCCCCAACTGTTAATTCATAAAGTCATACGCGCGGTGCCTCCATCCGCTGTCGAATTGTTCTGACGTTATCCTGTTATTGGAAGTGCATGATTCACCTTCCGAGGAAACAGAAGCCATACACAAAAGGGGAAGATTTGCTTTCTGCCCTATGAAAGGCTGCCACACGCAGGGGTCCTATTAAGACAGCTGGAAAGTTGCTTCAGCGTGTTACGCTTGTAAGTTTTATTGGTGACTGGTTTTTGATTACACATTTGAATGTGTGTGTTCCAGACTGCAGTTTTAATTAAAAGGCAATAGTCTTTTCTTTTTTAAATTGCATTGTGCACTCTCTGCTAGAGTCCCCCACTTATTAGTTCCTATTTTCTAATGCTCGTAGCCTGTCCTGGCCTGAGGCACTGGTGCCCCCTTGGAGCATACCTTCCTGGCCTTCCCTCTTCCGTGCAGTGTCTTTTTTTTTTTTTAAGTGTACACCAATTCTTGCTTCAAGTGTCAATTCATTTTATAGGGACTGAGAAGAACATTCTATCCACTGACCTAGGAAGGGAAGGTCCGACATCATCACACAGCCGTCAGTGGAAAGAGATGCCGTCACAATCAATGCCTCTGTTTTTGTTTGTTTGGATCAACCTTAATGATTTTTTGCTATGATTCTATAACTATTGATGTTCATATTTTTCAGTAATACTGGTGTTGGATGTAACTGACTGAAGTCTAAGAGACACAGGTCTCAATATCAGAATCTTACCGTTAATTATGACTTCTATTTAATTCCCTGGCAAGAGGTTAACAGACTTGGAAGGTACTTTCTTCCCCCCCCACACACACACACACATAAAAGTTGCATAACCATATTCAAACCAGAGTGAACCGTGTCATTGTTATATGTGTCGTTCCACATGTGCACTTGTTTCCTTAATCAATGACTGCAGCTACGAAGAGAGAGCTCTGTACCTCGAAGCAATAATTCAGAACCACCGAGAAGTAATGACGTTTGAGGATTTCGCGGCCCAAGTCTTTTCTCCCTCGCCCAGCCCCTCCCTCGGCGGAACGGGTGAGTGTCTACATTATTCTGCCCTCCCTCGCTTAGGACGCACTCGAGCAGCAGATGTACACCTGTTTTTCACAGATAAATGCTTGCAAATTTAAGAAGAGCATTCTCCCTCTGAATCAACTAATGAATATCAAAAGGAATGATGACATTCATTTTAATTTGTTTTGTATCCGAGCTGTTCACTCAGTGCTTTTCTTCAGCTATCCTGTTAACCCCCGAATCTAGCAAGGTTAATGAACTTTTTCTCAGTAATGTGCTCCGGTTCATTCAGGAGTGTAGGTTTCTTGCTGAGCTGGGAATATGTTGTTTAAAAGCGATGCCCGAATCAGTGCTTACTTATCAAAAAAGTGTTCCTCACAGTCGAAGCCGTTGCTACTAATGCTAAATGGGGATTATGCTGCCGAGATACTCGGGTCAGGGATTAATGCAGGAGAGATGGAAGGACAGTGTCCCCTGGTCCATCATTACAGCAGAGCCTCGTGCACGCTTTCTCTCTGGAGTGGCCTGTGTCACACGGACAGGCTGCCGACCAGCGCAGCACCTGGCGTGGAACCTGTTTAGAAACTGGCTTTCAATCATTTTCATTTATTATGCCAATGGAATATTTCAGAAATTTCCATGAATGTCCTTGTTTTTAGGTTTTACTCTTTTTGTATTTCCAATTCAAAAAAAAAAAAAAAAAGGGTACTACCCCTTAAACTGATTATATGATTACTGTGGGTTTTTTTTTTCCCAAAGAATAGAATTACTTGTGAATTTCTGCATGTAATTACAGATTAATTGCCTTTCAGAGAGTAAATGGGATATTTAGTCAATGCATGTTGAAATTCTCAATGAGGGGCTTCCTTCTTCTTCCACCAGTGTAGACACAACTGTTAGCATGCTTAATAGATTTCTAACCTGTGTCAATTGTCTCTGAACACTGCCTTACTTCTCCGATTCTGACTTGTTACTAAATATCTTACACACAAAGTGAAAAAAAATTAAATTCAGTGAAATAAATCACTTACAAATAAAATCAGCCATGCATCATTGTTTAACATCGCTGGCTTCAATCCTTGCCTCTCCGAGCTTTGTTGGGAGATAAGAGGGAGAGGCTTGCACTTTGCACAGGGAGCCAGGAGCAGCAGGCAGAAGGCCGGGGAGATAAGCAAGCTGGCCGAGGTGCTGGAGCCGGGCGATTTACATAATCACGCCTCTGCTTCCTGGTGAGGCGTCAAGAAACACAGGGATGGCCTCTATTGATCTTTGTTGAACTGGAATACTAAACAACATGAGAAAGCTTATAACTTAAAGCTTTGATTAATGTTTCCTATATTAAAAAAAAAAAAAAGTAGAACAGCTGTGAATTGAATTCTTTTATACCCTCTGCCAACATTCTATCTAAAACCAAAAAAAAAAAAAAAAAATCAGTTTCAAGGGAAATGGAGATTTCACACCACTCTGGCTAGAGGTTGAAAATCATTTCTAGTGTGTAGGTGAAAGAACATGAAGGATCTGTAGCAAAGCTAATTTTTTAAAGATCGCATTCAGCTCTTTTTCATCCTCATGAGGTCCTGGGACTTAGTTTTTCTGTGCAGGGTTTTGTGAGTTGTTGGGGTTTTTTTGTTTGTTTGTTTGTTTTTAACTTTTAAGAAAGGTTTTTATTTCTTATAATTAGAAGAAATGAAATAATAACTAGGTATTGACATTCCTTAACTCTTACATTCTTAAGGCTCTAGATTAAGATGTTCCTGAAACAAATATTGATGAGCTTTGTTTTCCATGCATACTTTAGCATCTATGTAAATTAGTTTGATCTTTTCCAAAAGTTCATAATTATTTAAATCCATCCAAATGAGCTAGTGTGTAGGTAATATCTTAAGTGAGTCTCCAGAAGTGATTTGGGTTTTTCAGGACCTGGTATTTGGAGGCAATGGCTAGCAGGCTTCTTCGAGAGCATCACGTTGCCAAGGTCACTTAGCAGATAAGGGTCTGACAGCTCATGAGTGGGCCCTGGGACCCATACAAAAGGAACATGAAACCAAACATGGGCTATGAAGACAAATGCTGTTTCTTCCTCCTTTCAAATTGTTTGCATCCACATTACATTTCATAATGTTTAGGGTTTAGAGCATTCCGTGTTGAATGATAAAATTTTTTTGTACACATATCACATCAGTCCATGAATGCAATTTTAAGTCTGGGTGGCATGTTCTCTGTCACCACTTTGCATATCTGCCCACACCAAAGATGAGGAAGGAACTGGAAAGGAACTTGATGCGAACTGAAATCTGGAGGCAGTGCAGCGAGGGCGGAGCATTTCCAGACCATAAATAGGCACATTTTCAAAAGCACATCCTCCGCTCTTCACATACCAGTTTTGCTTTTGAGGAATCCCTATCCCAGCCTATTACCACTTTTACAGATGAAAACATTTTTCATTTATTCGGTGTTTCCTATTTTCTCGGGACAAGTACAGTCAAACCCACATGAGCCAGCTAGCTTAAACTAAGAAACAGAGGTGAACTCTTCTCTTCCAAGCCTCAAGCCAACTGGAAAAATTGACCCTGAGCCGCTTAAGCCCCCACAGTGCACTTAGGACCCAATCAGACCGTCTGGGCCAGCAGTGCCATCAAAGCAGGGCCTTGGGCTCCTGCTCACATGCATATGCACAATCTGAGGAATTAGGGGCTCCCAGGTTTTCTTTGTATCCTCCATGCAAGGGGCTTTGTTGTTAATGCAGAGGCAGAGTAACCTGAACCCTGTATTCCTTCCACACTGTGTTTGTAGCAGCAAGCAGTCCCATTTCTAGAGGGAAGGCCTGTGATATCAGCCTTGGAGTCCTATGCATAAGTAGGAAGTGTGCTCAGTGGGAGTGGCTTGTGCCCAAAGCCGCTGCTGTTGGAAAATGCCTTCTCTTCAGACTCCCCCTGCCCCAGTGCTGTTCCTTGTCACCGGAGGCAGCTAGAGAGGTGCACACTGGCCAAGTAAATGTGTTTCTCTTCATGATTCACTGTCAACCACTGATGAGGATGTAGGGTCTTTAATTGTTAGCTAATAGGTGGGTGCTCCGCTTCTTAAAAAGAGGTTTAAAAAAGAAACTATTTTCCAAGTCTGAAAATGTTATTTTAAAACACCACCTACCACATACATATTCTGTCTACTACTTGTACTCATAATACCTAGTACATAATAAGTATATGAGCTGCCTTTTTTTTAGCCCTGTAGTTTATGTTCCTTTTGATTCCTTCCTTATTGACCAGCAATTTCTGAAAGGTAGCCAGTGTTAAAATATTTGCTGCAGTTAACACACACACACACACACACACACACACACACACACACACACGTGTGTGTGTGTGTGTGTGTGTGTGTGTGTGTGTGTGTGTGTGTTTACATACATATATGTTTTATGCAGGTATACATACTCATTTAACACATACACACATTGGGGTGAGGGACTTGGCTTGTGTTTTCATGCATGTTCCTAAGGAAGGGGGGGCTGCAGAGAGGCCTTCAAAGGGTTAACTGGAATGGGCACCCTCGACTGCTGGGCGGGGCTGATGTAATCACTGCAGCTCACAGCCAAGTGCATCTGTTCACCATGAGGTCATTCTTCTGCATGCTAATGATTTGGAAAATCAAGTCTAATGTTTGACATTATCGGAAAGGATATAAATAGTATAAATCTTTACCTTTTGGAAGCTGGTCTTATACACAAGAAGAGAAAAAAGAAACTTTAGCTTGGACCTGAGATTTTGTTTTTTCCAAGAACTGCTTTAAAGGTTGTGTCTAGATCTTAAAACCTTGGAGGAATCCACTTGTGTCTGTTGATAAATGAATCCCCAAATCACTATTACAGTCACAGCTAGCAATTTGGTAGTGGAGGACTACAGGTATGTCTGATTTAATATCTGATTTTAAGAATTTCCAAGTGCCTTGGTTGGAACCTGATAAAGACTGAGTTTTTCGAAGAATGTCCCAAAACCAAGTTAAATGAGTTGTTCTCAGTATACACAAATCAACAGTGTTTGCTGAAGATGCCAACACTGTTTTTGGTTCCTTTCTACCTTAATATTCCTGTAGGGAGCCAGCAGAGGGAGCACAAATCTTTGTTTATTTGTGAGCCCTACATAAACACATTTGATTCCTCCAAGATGTGGTCAGACATACTTTCACCTTTATGATAGGCTAGGTGGTAAAGGTTCCAGAATTTAGAACAAGTGGGAGCAAACTCCTTATTCGGCTCCACCCTATTCTGTCATTCTTGATGTAGGTCATATTTGGAGCTTAACCCAGATTAGTCTGAGTCGGTCTTAGGAGGTTGCCACCACCATTCCTATTCACAAAACCATAAGCTTTCAGCGGTCACGCTCAGGAAGTGTACATGTGCCCTCTTGAAGAGGATTATTGTGCTCACCTACCTAATATAAAAGACTTTTGTAATTTTCTTCTACAACAAAATCAAATTAAGTTCATAGAACCTATCAGAAGACTCTGCGTGGTGTCACTGGATCATTCCGGTGACCCTCATAAGACTGCAGGTGTATTGGTCTCAAAGTGAAGCTGGCAAGTGGATGCTACACAAACTACTTTTGTAACTCATCAGCCTTTACCTAGAGGAGTTCACCGGCTGGACCCCCGAACCATACACAGTGGCTACATGTGCCAGGATGTTGCAGGCTTGCCATTCTGCACACAGATCCCCCACATGACCAGTTTCCTGGCAGTTAGCAATCAGGCTGATCCCCAGAAACTGCACAAGGGAGACTCTAACTGTAACCCCCCAAAAGATGACAGATTTTCCCCATTCATTGAGGGTGGTCATGTTACCAATTCACTCAGCCTCTCTCTCTCTCTCCCTCTCTCTCTCTCTCTCTCCCACCCTCCTCCCCCACACTCCTCTCTCCTCTCCTTCCTCCATTCCTCCCTCCATGTTAAAGTGTTCTTCATAAGGTTTCTATTGATAACATTTCTTATGTGTTCACCATCCTATTAAATTTGCTGAAACCAGCAAAGAACACTGGAGAACATGGAACTAGAAGAAGCTTCAGGGGATATGAAGCCTAACTGCTTCACATCAATTTTGAGTAAGCTGAAGACCAAGCTATAAAGGGACAACCAAAAGGCGATGGGCAATTTGGCAGTGGGGTCCTCACCCCTCATTCCACACTTTCTTTTCTTCCCAAAGTGGAGTCCAGTTTTAGTGACATCATCCAAGACTCAGATGGTTACCACCATCCCCTACTTGGTAAGCTGTCACCAAATGCTGGCTGTCAGTTATATTGGTCACGGAATTCCTAACCAGGCAGTTATAAGAGTTTGTCAGTCTACAAACTCCTCCTCCCTGAGGAGGAGAGAAGCAAATACTATCTTAATATTTTTCAAACAGAGCCTGTTCAGGAAAGCTGTACCTTCCTCATTGCTCTTCAGAAAGTCTTCAGGAGACAAGAATGAAATTTAGGGAAGTGATAGTGCTGGAAACATAAGCCACAGAAACTCAGGTTATGGTTGTTCTGATGACAGTCAATCACTTCGCTGGCCAGCACACCCACATAATTGTGACAGTGTATAAGGCAGCCTCGTAGTTGTGGCTGCAGAATCCTTTAAGGAGCCCTCTCACTCCTGCTTCTAACCAACCACATCGAACAGAGGAGGGAACTGAAGCCCAGAATATACTCTGACTTCATGGAGTGAGCAAACATGCATTAGAGGCTCCCACGTGCCCTGGATAAGTCAGGTCCCAAGGGTTCAGGCAGGCCATCCCAACACTTGGAGGGGCCTCTGACATTCTGGGGGTGGGAGGAACACGGCCAGGACCCAGACCCAGAGCCTATGTACCCACACGCTGCTGCTGAACCCTAGAATAAAGGCAGATGGCAGTGCCTATCAGCAAACCTTTGACCCTTCATACTCCATTGCCAGGGTTAATGGATCTTCCTCCGTCAGTACTTTACACAGCCCAGGCTTGCCTTCTTTTGCTCTTTCTTGCATACAGTCACCCTAATCATTTCAACTCCACTGTTTTCCTGTCCTCCTGGCTCAACACAGGCCAGAACCTTCCACTGACACCAGCCTCCCCAGCTTCCTTGGAGGCTCTTTGCAGGAAGGATGGATTCCCTTGAGTGGGCTAGTGTCTTCTGCGTTCCAGTGTGTGGCCACAGCCATGTTACCTGTGGTTCTACAGCTTAGTCTGATTCTGTAAAATGGGTCTAATAAGAAACTTCCTTAAGGGTATTCATAAGGATTCAGCAAGTTAATATGTGTAAAGAGATGAGCACAGTGCCTGGCACATAACCCTCAGCAGGTGTTTACTGGGCTATCATGCTCACCCACCCTGTCTGTCCATGTTTTTCCTCACTCCATCTTATGCAAACCTCTTCCTCTTCCAGCCCATCTTCCTTTTGTCATCCTCTTGGAACATGCACCTCCCAATTCTTCCTTTCTCATCCTGGAATATACCACTGCCTACCCATTTACCTGTCTGCTGGAAGGGGAGTGCAGGCCAGGGACCGCAGTTGTGGAAATGCTATCCTGGCGCCCTCCGTGGGGATAGTCCCATAAATCAAAGCCATGGCTGCTGGCTTTTTATTAATGTTAGTTAAAGATCTGGAAGAAAGCTCAGAACTCCAATAAAATCATCCAGAATTTTCCCTTAAAGACAAGTTCTGTTAGGTCATTGTCTATTCAAGAACTCAGGCCACCCCCACTCAGCAACCTCAGCATGTTTGGCTGTAGCCAACCGGGTGCTGCCGCATGGCCTACAAAGAGCTAATTGCCCCACACAGAGTTTCTATCCCAGCAGTCCCACCCAGAGCCAGCCTGAATCTTCCTTTACACATAACCAGCTCAATTCTGACCCCTTTCATATGACATATTTTTTAAAACTTACAATGTATTCTTCTTGCAAAGATGATGAAGCATCCATTGGGTTTCCTTAAACCACCCATAATGCCATCATCCACACCCAGTAATGCTGGCCCCAGCTTGTGATTCACCTGCGAATCCCTATGTATTCTTATGCTATATCCCTCCTCTAGAGATGTGCATATGTTGATCTGGGGTGTGGCCTGAGCATGAGGATTTTCTTTTAAAAACTCCTGAGGGCAGAGCACCTGGGTGGTCCAGTAGGTTGAGCTTCCATCTTCAGCTCAGGTCATGATCTCCAGGTTCGTGAGTTCGAGCCCCATGTCAGGCTCAGTGCTAACAGCTCAGAACCTGGAGCCTGCTTCAGATTCTGTGTCTCCCTCTCTCTCTGTCCCTCGCCCCTTGCACTCTGTCTCTCTCAAAAATAAATAAACATTTGAAAAAAACCTCCTGAGGGCATTTTATTATGCAGGCAGGACTGAGAACCACTGTCAAGGCATCTTTGTAATGCTTGGATCCTCATTTTAATGTGCCATTTAACTTGTCATTACTTCTATCTTGGTTTTTCTTAGCCTATGTAAGTCATGTGTGTGTGTGCGTGTGTGTGCACACGTATTCTATCTATAATGGGCAGTAAATCCTTTAGAGAATGACACATGTAATTTCTTTCTTAAAACATATGCAACAGGAATAAAATAGAAATGTGGACAGAATAATTCAGGCTGTTGCTTGAAGTGGCATAGGTGTCTTGAGGCCACAGACATGTGTTGGGCCTGAGACAGATGCAGGGCAGACTCCTGTGATTGTTCAGCTGTCCCCTCTCTCCCTGGTCTCCTAGTGAAAGTGGACCAGTGATAAGCAATATGACCAAAACCTGGTGTGAAAAAGGCAGGGGAAGCCACAGGGCCTAGGTACTCCACAGACCAGATAATGTGGTTTGAATAACTGATATGTGATTTGGCATCCTTTCCTAAATGGTATTGTAGATTTTTAAGAGAATTCTTGATAGCCCTGTTTAGCACCAGATTTTGCTTCATGCTTATTCATCTCTTTTTCCTCTTAAAATGCTTTTGTTGTCCTCAGTGTCAGCTCCGGGAGGGGAAAGAAAGAGATGAGACAAACATTTGTTCCATTTGATCCAGTAGACCACAGTGGTGCTACCTGTCAAATGTTGCCATCTCCAAATTCACCCTGCCCCTCCCCCCAGGGCTGTGCTAAGCATCTTAAGGGAACACAAAGACTCTGGAAGCTTCATTTTCCATGTCTTTCCTACCCTTCTGGAGCTTGCAGTCTTGTTAGGGAAGAGCAGATATTCAGGAACCACTAAAAAATGGCTACTTATGAATAAGCCCAGATTAGTTGCTTCTGAACTATAATCACATATCAAAAAGATACAGTGAGAGAGAGAGAGAGAGAGAGAGAAAGAGATACAGTGGGCCAAAGGTGTGGGTCTGTTGGGTTGAGATTTTCCTGAAGTGGGCTGTGCCATCTACCTTGTGAGCCTGGAAGAGAATGGAAACTTACCTAACATGTATTAGATACACTACTAAGTCCCTCACCAGTCATTTAAGAAAATTTTTTTCATGTTTATTTTTGAGGGGGTGGGGAGAGAGAGGGCGTGTGAGTGCACACATGCACACGAGTGGGGGACAGACAGAGAGAGGGAGACAGAGAATCAGAAGCAGGCTCTGTGGTGACAGCAGAGAGCCCGACACAGGGCTCAAACCCACGAACCTGTGAGATCATGACCTGCACCAAAATCAGATGCTTAACCTACTGAGCTACCCAGGCACCTCTCCCACCAGTCAATTTTTAACTTCCCCACGTTGGCTAAAAATTGAGATGTATGACAACTGGAAGGCCATGGACAAGAAGAATAAAATAGGGGACAGGCAACATGGGAAGAACACAGAGGAAGAAATGACTCCTTCCAGAGCCAGCGTGGGGAACCACCACCCCGGCCGTGAGGCTGGTGCTGAGGTTAGGGGATGTTCACAGATTCCCAGAAAAAGAAGGGACCCAAGAGTATTCATTCTAAAGTACTGCCATCACATTTAAATTGTTCCTTTGGAAGAACTTGAAGATGCTGGTTTTTCTGTGAGCTGTCTTGACTTTAGTTCTGACTTTGCAGCCTTCACAGGGTTTTAAATGCAAGTGGCATCTTCCTCCCTGCCTAACTGTTAATTACAGTTCCCGTGACACTTTTGCAGTTGCCAAGAGATGGCCGGCAGGTACCAAGAATTTTTCTCAGAGGCAATTTTTGGAAATGACTCTTAATTAAAGCTCATTTGAAGTAACATTGAGGATTTGTTTCAGAAGAACCTGGAGCTTCTGACACCCCATGTTCACATTGGGATGTGAACTGCAACTGTGACCATAGTGTTCTCCTGGTTCTAGAGGGTGGAGCATGTGCAAACCACAGCCATTAAGGTGGGCTCCTGAAGACCCCATGACCTTGCTTAAGTTTCTAGCAACAACCAAGCCAAAGCAGAGGCTGAATGGAAGCTCTCTTACTAGCATTTAAGTCTGCTGACAGAAAATAGAATATTACATTGTCTCCTTTTCCAGAAGTATATATGCTGATAACCAGGAGGTAAACCTCTACATAGCATAATAAAGAGAAAAGCTGGTTCCTTTTCTCTAGTTAACCTACAAAGGCCCTCAAAAGGCTGGGGCATAAAAATCCCTAAAAAAAAAAAAAAAAAAAAAAAAAAAAGGGAAACATGCCAGTCAACTTTGTAAAAAACAAACAAACAAAACTACCCCACCATAATGTATTTACAGCATTCACTGGCCAAAATTCATTTCTCACCACAGAGGAAACCTAATAGCATCTCTGTAGAGTGTACAGAGAGAAAGAACAGGCAAAACCCTATTTTTTGACCACTTCAGGAATATGAGACAATGAAATCCCAGATGCATAGAGGACACATTCTACCGGCCTGTGTCCCCACACCAGGCCCCTCCCACCTCCCCCTGCAGTGCTGAGCCCTTACCTGTGGTGGGGTCCTCAGCCTACTCGGTCACCCAGCCTGTCTCTTCTATCAAGCAGGGTCGACTGATCTTGAGATTGCCCGAGGGTGAGGACAGCTGCTGTGGGTCTTCCAGGACTCAGGAGGCAGGGTCCTGCTCCCCCCGCCCTGATCCCAGGCAAAACCAAGGAGTGCAGGTTCCCTTGCCATTGCTGCTGAAGTATGTTTGGCAGACCCTGCAGCTGGTTCGTGTCCCAGAGCCTGTGCGTGGTAGTTAGGGAAACCCTGTTCCCTAGCTCTGTCCCCAGGGCTCAGGGAAGCAGCTAGAGGAACAGCCTGACTGTTACAGCAGAGCCCTCTGTAACACCTGGGAGAGCGGCTTTCCAAGTCCAGGCCCTCCTGACCGGGGATGTGAACCAACCCAAGAACATCAGGGCGAGAGTCCCAGAGGGAAGGGATGACCACAGAAGAAGCCAGAAACGAGACTCCGCAGGCCGCTAGGCTGCCTCTGTTCTTTATTCCAATTCCCTAAAACTGGTGACTTTGCTAGAGGCCATATTTATATATTAAAGCTCAGTCCAGCTTGGGCCCTGGGGACAGACCTTTGGTACAGCCCAAGTGTATGGGAACTGTGGCTTCACTTCTAAGATCATCACAGAAGCCCCCTGAGGGTCAGGGCTTCACACATTCCTTCCACGAATATTTACTGTGCACTAGTATGGAAGGTACAGAAATGGGCAGAACAGCAACCACACCCTCCATGAGGCCCATCTTGTAGTTTTTTTAATGTTTATTTATTTTGAGGGGGTGGGGGGCAGAGACAGAGAGAGAGAGAGAGCAGGTGCTGTGCTGGCTGCCAGCGCAGAGCCCAGTGCAGGGCTTGAACTCACAAACCATGAGATCATGACCTGAGCTGAAACTAAGAGTCAGACGCTTAACCGACTGATCACCAAGGCATCCCTGAAGTTTATCTTTTAGATGGGTGAGAAAGATGCTGGCTTCTCAGAAGCTGAGGGGTGCCAAGAAAAAAAAAAAAAGCAGCAGGGAAGGAGGACCAGGAGTGCAACTGAGAAGCATCACTGGGGTGCTAGCCTCTTCGACATGGGATGTGGGGAAGGCCTCACTAAGAAAACATTTGAGGAGAGGCTTGAAGGAGGTAAGGGAGCAAGCCATTTAGAGTCTGGGGGAAGAGCACTCCAGGCAGAGGAAACAGCAAGTGCAAAGGCCCTGAGGCAGGCATTTCCTGGTATGTTTGAGGAACAGTGAAGGGCCCATCATGGTTAGAGCAAAGCAAGCAAGGAGGTGAGGAGGAGGAGGAAGATCAGAACAGCCTCACAGACCTAGGGAAAGACTTTGGCTGTTACACTAGTGAGCAGGGCAGCTCCTGGAGAGTTAAGCAATGGGGTGACACGATACAATTCTTGATTAAAAAGATCACTGAGTTCTATGGGGAGGATATTCTAGGGGAGGGGCAGCAGGGATAGTTAGATAATAGATAATATTTCATTCCCTACATATTCCCACCACTTGCCACACAGCAGGCATAGAAGACATGTTGACTAATGAATAAATGTTGTACTAATCGAAGAGATGCTCCCCCTGAACGTTCTCCATGGGACCGCTAGAGGGGCCTACCCGTCCCCTCCCCCTAGTGACTCCCATATCCCTAGTGCCACAGAACACAGCCCCTTACTGGGACTATACAGGTGAGGGGAGC